GTAAGCCATTCAAAATTATGATGCAACTTCAGCTGCATATTGCGCAATTGATACTGGGGACCAATAGAAAATTGCATGTATACTGAGATGATGCAATATTAGCCTTTAATTGCATCACTTCACTGCATAAAAGCTGCAGTATCTGTAGCTGATTGTAGTTGGACAGCGTCTTTACATTTCGTTTTATGCTTATGTAGGCTACTCAGTAATGCCTCGAACTTGTGTGAATAAAGCAGATAATTTCTGCTATATCTGCGGTGAAATAACTTTTATCTCACAAAAAAGGAGGATAACAGGAATGATTAAGAAAGCCTACAACTTGTATTTTGGCTGCAAGATAGGAGACCAGGACAAGAGCTGGGCACCACATATATGCTGCAATTCTTGTGGGACGGCACTGGAGCAATGGTTGAATGGAAAAAAGGCATCTATGCCTTTCGCTGTGCCAATGATTTGGAGAGAGCCAACAGATCATGTTAGTAATTGTTACTTTTGTATGGTGCCTCCAATTGTAAAAGGGCTAAATAAGAAGAAAAAGTTATCTGTGCACTATCCAAATATTCCATCGGCAATACGTCCAGTTCCTCATGGAGAGGGGCTACCAATTCCTAAAGCACCAGAATCCTTCGTGGTTCCTCAAGTGAGGAAGAACCTGAAGCGTGTAGTCACGTGCAGTTGTAAGAGATAGCCCTTTCCTCGAATACAAGAGAAAAGCCAAGAGAAGCAAAAACCGACACAAACTGAAGACAAAACTAGTGAGAATCCGAAGTATTAAAATGATTCAACTTAGCTTATGGCTATAATTTTTCTTGGTAATCCTATGCAATATATTATGCCATTTAGGCTTTGTTATGTAGTCAATATCACTTGCTTTATATTTGTGGAAAGACATCTATCTATATAATTATTGTGCATTATGTAGTCATTACACCTATAGTAGAAAACTTTCCGTTTACAGAAAAACTAGAGCCAATTGACAAATTTAATTGTTATATTTGAACTCAGAATGTGAAATTCATTAAGAAATGGATCCTTTTGTTTCCAAAACTGGCAAAAAATAAAAATTTGTTGAATAGTGTTATCTGATTTATTTTCGTCAGACAGTGACTGGGCATCATTGGGTCTTTTCTCTGTTCGGTGATACACTGTGTCCGAGGGACTCAGCTCACCACTGATTGCCATGCTGCATGCCAATAATAGAAGGACGTTATATGACATCCTTCCAGAATGAGAGCAGTCCTGTCTGGCCTATTGCACAATGACCAGTTAAAGAACCTTAATTGTTCTCAAACTGTTGGGGGTAAAGGTCTGCTTGCAGAAGTAAACCCAATGGTTTAACTGTATCCCAAGGTTAGTGTGAGAATTATGGCAGTGCCAAAATGACTAAGTTCCTGCACATGCACTGAGGTGATGTGACCTTGGCCCAGCAAATGGAAATTGGCAGGGTTCGATACCCGGAAGCCACCGGGCTGATGTCAGTGGCTGGTGGGGACCACCAGGGGGTCACATCGCTGGAGAAGAGGCAAGTATAGCTCAGATATAATGTGAACTCTTAAGACATCAAATGGCTAATGTCATAGCTGATCACATGTGCAGCACCATGAGTACTGCAGATCAAACAGAGGCTAAGATGGCTACTTCCTTGAAAGTAAAGAATAGCAGGATGTGGTTCTGCTTTAATTAACAAAAAAAAAAGTAGAATTTGGAGGAGGCTGAGAGCAATAGAAGGTAATTTTATGAGTTGTTTTTGTTTTTTCGTTTTATGTAAAATCTTTATCCCAAAAGGAAAAAAAGGAAAAAATTCTGATGTAGGTGCTTAAAAAGTTTTAGCTTGAGTTTTGCTCTAAATTTGTTCGTCAAGTCCATCTAATTCTACTAGTGCATCTAACACTAGCCTCTTCCCAGATTGTCAATGCTACTGTCTAAGGGTGATTCTGCTGCACCTCCATCCTGAGAGGAGTCACTCTAAGACAGGAAGTGTTATCGGCCTGTTACCAGGTGAAAATAAAGAGAAAAGACTCTACTTTAACCTATATTATAGACAGATCTAATGCTGAATAAATGAGTTTGAAATGCATCTTTAGGGTGTATATATACATTTGTGGTTTCTGCTGTCACCATGCTGTGAATTTGCCCAGTAATGACATTTCAAATCACATTGCAGATCGCAGCTATATCAAAAATAGATCCAAAGTATGTCTATAATGCTCCAGGCATCGAGAAGGACATGGATCTGTACACATCATGAGGTCTTTATTCAGAATTGATTGAATGCGGCAGTTGATGCCATCCCAGTCTTAGTTCGTAAGGTTCAATATTGAGTTGACCCATCCTTTGCAGCTATAACAGCTTCAGCTCTTCTGGGAAGGCTGTCCACAAGGTTTCGGAATGTGTCTATGGGAATGTTTGACCATTCTTCCAGAAGCGCATTTGTGAGGTTGAGTACCGATGTCAGATGAGAAGGCCTGGCTCGCAGTCTCCGCTCTAATTCATCCCAAAGGTGTTCTATCTGGTTGAGGTCAGGACTCTGTGCAGGCCAGTCAAGTTCAAGTCATGTCTTTATGGACCTTGCTTTGTACACTGGTGCGCAGACATGTTGGAACAGGAAGGGGCCATGTCCAAACTGTTCCACAAAGTTGGGAGCATAATATTGTCCAAAATGTCTTAGTATACTGACGCCTTAAGAGTTCCCTTCACTGGAACTAAGGGGCCAACACCTGAAAAACAACCCCACACCATAATCCCCCCCCTCCACCAAAGTTTACACTTGGCACAATGCAGTCAGGCACTTACTGTTCTCCTGGCAACTGCCAATCCCAGACACATCCATTGGATTGCCAGACAGAGCAGAGAAGCATGATTCCTCACTCCAGAGAACACATGTCCAGTGCTCTAGAGTCCAGTGATGGTGTGCTTTAAACCACTGCATCCGACGCTTTGCATTGCACTTGGTGATGTAAGGCTTGGATTCAGCTGGTCGGCCATGGAAACCTGTTCCATGAAGCTCTCTACACACTGTTGTTGTGCTAATCTGAAGACCACATGAAGTTTGGAGGTCCTTAGCTATTGACTCTTCAGACAGTTGGCGATTTTGCACACTGTGCGCTTCAGCATTCACCGACCCCCGCTCTGTCATTTTTCGTGGCCTGCATTGCTGTTCTGATTTGCTTCCACTTTGTTACAATGCCACAAACTGTTGACTGTGGAATATTTAGTAGCAAGGAAATTTCAAGGATGGACTTATTGCACTGGTGGCAACCTATCATGGTACCATGCTTGAATTCACTGAGCTCCTGAGAGCGACCCCATCTTTCACCAATGTTTATAGAAGCAGTCTGCGTCCTTAGGTGCTTGATTTTATACTCCTGTGGCCATGGAGGCGATTAAAACACGTGAATCCAATGATTTGTCCCAATAATTTTGGCATTATAGCGTGTGAGTGTGTATGTATGTGTAATATACATAAATTATTTGTGTGTGTAACCAGGGGCGGACTGACAACTCACGGGGCCCCCGGGCAATAGGGGATCATGGGGCCCCTGTGTCCTTGCCCAAACTCAAAAAAGCCTATGAAAAAGGTACCAGGGGCATCTCATGGGGCCCCCTACTGACCCCGGGCCCTTGGGCAGTGCCCGAGTTTCCAAATGGTCAGTCCGCCCCTGTGTGTAACTTTTCTTTACAAACTTCATAAGACAGACTTATGCTTATATTGGACCTCCTTGCCTCAGTTTACCTCCCTTTATGTGTGTTTACTGTTATAAGTGAAAGGAAAATTCCACATTTTTGATGTGTCCCCAAATAATAAAAGAGGGGAAATCCTTGGATTGAGACACTTGTTCTGATGAAATCAGAGTGACACTTGATTTTATGTCACTTTTTGTTTTGGCTGTGGAACAAGAAGTGAAGGGAAGTCTCCTTAGTGGGACACTGATGACAAAAATAAAAACTGGCAGGGGTTATAACCCTCCTTTTTTAGTCTATCCAAAATGAAAAAAAAAACAAAAGATAAAATGTAACTTTTGCAGTTTATAATACTTGTGCTGTGGAGATGCCAGTGTGCAGGGAAAGGAGATTAAGACCTTTCAACACAGGAGAGGTTTGTCTACAGGTCTGCAGGAATAAAGGTAAGGTTTAGCTTTAAGGAATCTTTCCAAATGTTTGAGGTTTTGTCTGACTCTAGTATTAAAAGAATTCTGTCATAAAATATGGCTTTAGGGGTAACTGAATGTATCCAAATGTTTAAACACATTCCATCCTTTTACAAAATGAAAATATCTGAGCACATGCTGAGGAGCTCAGATATGTACTGTATAGCTTTGACTGGTTTCCATCTGATCATGACCTGTATATATAGAAAAAAAGTCCTTATGTATTGGTATGTTTTATTGGTGAAGGCTTCAAGGATGAGGATGATTGTTGGTAAAAATACAGAGGGGGTTATTTACTAAAACTGGACAGTTCAAAATCTGGTGCAGCTCTGCAGAGAAACCAATCATCTTCCAGGTTTTATTGCCAAAGCTTAATTGAACAAGCTGAAGTTAGAAGCTGATTGGCTACCATGAATGGCTGCACCAGATTTTGAGTGTTCCAGTTCTAGTAAATCATCCCTACTATGTCTTAAAAAAAATTGAAGGTGTGCAATCAAAACTGGCCATTCCTATAGTAATAAAGAACCCTTTCTGCCATTGTATTAGGACCAGTCCAAAAGAAGCCACAAATGCAGTGCATTGCCTATGTGTTCTTGACACCCTAAAACAGAATGTGGATCCTGGTGGTCTAGCCCATATTTTCTTCCTATTGAGAATCTGTCTTTTCTCCAAGTCACAGTATAGGTAACAGTAATTCAGAGAGAATGTTGATAAAGACATGTTGGTGGTTATCTAAGCAGCTTCTTTGGTTAAGATGGTTTTTAATGGAAACAAACATTTTAGACACCTATTTAGCTGAGACCAGTTATGGTTTTAGCCTGTTTTCTGAAATCCATCACTGTTTTATTTTAGGTATTGCCTTCTTCAAACGAGTTTGTACAAACGTGCTGTCTCTTGTGTCACCGAGAAAGGAAAGATTGGTTGGGTTCAGCGCCTCACAATGGGGTCCTCTCTCCTATGGATGAAATTCCTGCTTCTTTCATGCCTTCCTTGGCACAGAACCTTTTGGGGGAAATGCCGCTATGGATTTGCCAGAGCTGCCGGAAAAGCGTGGAGGAAGAGGAGAGACAAGCAATGCCAGAGCAGCCGTTAGCGGTGAGTGTTCTATCCATTCTCAAATTCGCTGAGGACTTTCTGCTGTTCTGACCTCATCGGCTTTCTAGCTTTTGGTAACTGACTTATGTTGTTCTCCCCTCTGTTGTTTTTTCCTACATATTGTGTTAGGCTTAATTGGTGTGCTTTGAATGTTTGTTTTTTTCCTTTTTTTCCAAATCTTTTTAATTGATGCTTTAAACCTGGATGTTGAATTTAGATAAACTGTGGTTGGCTAGCAATAGCTTGGTGTCACCTACAGAGATTTGTGATGTATGCCAAATTTAGTACAGTGGATCAAGCTTTTAGGATTCATTTATACTGTTATAGTGAGACGCAACACACACACAGTAACATGCACTTGCATGTTAAGAGAGACAATTAAGTATTAATGGGCTGCCAACGTACCACTGACTGCATGACTGCAAATTTTTAAAGGGATACAGCACAATGCACAAAATGGTTCACATTTCTGTTGAAGTGCACTTGAATACAAGTGTGCTTTTGCTGCGCTGCCTTGGACCGTTTTGCACCATGTTTAACATAATGCAGTAATGTGATCTAAGATACGGGTGAACAAGTGCTCTCTGAATTTCAGTGTGTGCATGGCATTTACAAGACTTCAAATTAAACTGTGTTTTATAGCACTTTTTAATTTTCTGGCGTGCTGTTTGTTATTTTATTACATGTAGAGAAGTCTTTTAGTCAGTAGACAAACCACAAGAGCCATAGTAGATTGACCAGTACAGTGGTTCGGACTTTACCTGACTACTTACCAACTGTTGAGATAAGGTATTGAACACTTCGAGAATGCATTATTTCAATGAGTCGACTGACACATAGAGATTCATTGGTAAATTAGCAATAAAATATCCCCCTTGTTTCAGCACTGCAGAGCAGTAAGTTGAAACTGTAGTGAGCAAATATAATTTTCAAATCTTTTTGTTGATTAGTGCTACTGACTAGAAATGCGCAGCTCAAAGGAGGCCATAGTCTTTCTGCAATTCCCTCTATGCTTCTCTATTTGCATTAGGGGCAGAGACCACCAGTAAACAGAATAGTGTGGCTTCCCCAGTCCCACCCAGTGTTCTGCCTTCTTAAATGATTGACAGCTGCAGTTAGTGAAACAAGTAAGACGTGTCCAACTAAAAGCTGGGGAGAGTGAGGATTGTAATTTTTGATAGAACCATCCTAATACGTTCCCAGTTCCTAACAAAAGATGAGAGCTGTCCTACAGAGAACTTCCTGTGAGGGAATAATTACATCACTTCCTTCCGATCAGTCATCACCTAGTTCTGTTCTAAAGAGACCCTATTGTAAGACCAATAATTTTAACAATCTTCCCATCTGATTATATGTGTGGAATTAATGTATTTTCTGCATGTTGTTATTAGCCTCGAAAAACCTCCCTTTTTTATACAGACATCCAAAAGCCTTGAGACTACTGCCAGGCACCCCTGTCTTGCGTGAAATGTTAGCAGTCCCAGCAAACTCAGAACTGTTACTCAAGTAACACTCTGTAGTATTCCCCTTTGTACTCTACCCGGAAGCTGCATAAAAGGTTTTGTGATGGGGGTGGAGGAGCTGGGGCAGCACAGACAGTATTTGGACACTTCCAGATGTGGAGAGGGATATGATATGCAAGGTAGGAGGGGGGTTCATTTCTAGAGATTTGACTCTTCCTGAAATAGTCAAATTTTCTAGCAAGTTCAAAGGCATTGCAAATAAATACAAAGTCCAATAATGGATAAGTATATAGCATCATGTGGAATAGACTCCCTCAAGAGTTGGTTCTGGCCAGCTCAGTGGATTGCTTTAAAAAAGGCCTGGATTATTTCTTAGATGCACAGAATATAACTGGATACGAACATTTATAGATAAAGTTGATGCAGGGAATATCTGATTGCCTCTCGGGGGATCAGGAAGGAATTTTTTCCCTTGCAGGAGCAAATTTGATCATGCTTTGCTGGGTTTTTTTGCCTTCCTCTGGATCAACTGTGGGCATAGGAGTATAACTTTTTTTTTTGAATGGTTAAACTGGATGGACTTTTGTCTTTTTTCATCCAGACTAAGGGCTCGTTCACACTTGACTTAATTTCTAACTCTTGCCAAACGCCCCTATAGTGTTTGACAGGCTTTAGACAGGTGTTTGGGAAGCGTTTTTAACGCTCCTCAACTGCTTCCCAAACACCCTATGCGTGGTTTTGAGGTGGTTGATAGGCGTTTGCCAAGCATTAAAACCGCACCACAAACACCTATAATGAAGGTAAATGGTTTTAACACCTCGCAACCGCACCGCAAATGCCTGCCAGGCGTTTGCGAAGCAACACCATAGACTTGAATGGAAGGCTTCAACTCCTCCTGACTGGACACGAGGCGTTAGTTTTGCAGTGACGCTTCAGTGTGAACACTGTGTGCTGCCATGTGCAGAATTTTCATAGGCTTTTGAGAAGCGTTAAAAACGCTTCCCAAATGACTGCTTGACACCTGCTGACAAAGCTAGTGTGAACTGAGCATAACTATGTAATCAGCACACATCTTCAGCATCCTACAAGAGCTTTGTATTTGTCACAGTTAAAAAACATAGTGGATACCAACGCTTTATAACTATGACAAATTAAGCTCTTGTTGGATTCTGAAGACGTGCACTGCTGCTATATACATATCTACTGTGGATGGTGAGCCGGAGCTGTCAGCAAGCACTGTGTCTGCACAGCCATTTGAGGTGGCTGGGGGTCTGAGCAGCAGCGAGTGTTTTAAAATCAGTGCAGATGTGTTTTTTTTGTGACAGGTTCTGTTTAGTATTTTTTAAACATAGTAACTGATTTTGTATATCACAATAGATGTAACTCATCTTGCTCATAGTAATCTGTATGATTAGCATTGTTTTTCTGGTTGTCAAGAGAACTGGGTTTTGTTGAGAAATGCTGTCATTTTATGACTTAAAGAACATGAGGAAACAAGCTATTGGGAAGTGTAACAGCAGACACAATAGCAGTTGTTGAAATCCATTACAGTTTCCGGAGTTCTGATGCAACAAAGGCATATTTCCAGTTCACCAACCTTTTATGTTTATCTAGTAGTATGCCTTGGGGTATGTAGGTGACCTTCATAGCAGCGCTTAGAGGAGCATGTTTCAGTTCCTTGTACATTTGCATTTTTCTTCACTTGGGAAAGCGCACAACGGATTTATATTCTATTTCACAGTAAGATAGAATGGTAGTGAGAACATTGAGAGAAGATGTGATTCATTTATATCTAAATCAAAATTGCAGCGCTAAAAACACACAAATAGAACCAGTGTACTTGACATATATTGCAATATAAAGTGACAAGTGATATTTAAACCGCTGATAATGAGCGTCACAAGGTGACAAAAGTGCGTCGTCCTATGATGGACGAATAATAGTGACATAAACGCACATCGAAAAAGTATAACAGTTCATAAACTAATCCTTAAAGTGTTAATATCATCCGATGTATGGTCATATGGTCCGATGTATAGAATATCGGTCATTTCTCAATGGAATTGCATAAATATGGTGCTCATGACTTCTTGTGGATAGGAAAAGAGGTGTGCTTGCACTCACCGGACGCACAACCAAATTGTGCATATAAATGGTAATCAGAAGGGCACTGGTGGTCATCTAAGAACCGATGGGGATAAGGCACTTCTCAGGTACTCGCTATACCCTGGGTACGGACTCCAGACCTAGAACCCTCTCAGCAAACAGGGACCGCTCCTTGGCATCAACTACACCCGGCTTCACAGCAAGTTAGCAGCACTGGATATCCACCTTAAAGCAGCTCCAGGAATAAGCCACCAAAAAAAAGGCTAATATGGTGTAGTATTTTTATTATTAAGCCAATAGCATACCAGCTTATATAATTGCAGCTGTAGTAGGTATTCAGTCCATTATATATAAATGCAGAGTTGTAAGCAGCAATACCATAAATATAGTAGAGATTCCAATGGAAAATAAGTACTGGGAATGACAGTGATTCCACTAAGCAGTAATAAAAATGGCTGCCAGCCTTACATGTGGACCTGGCAGCGTGTGACGTCAGCGCGGCAAGCTCCTCTCTGACTTGTTTCGTGCACTAGCACGTTGTCAAAGGGATCCCAAGTCCATATAAATCTGCTAGTCTAAAGCCGGCCATACTTGGATTGAAATTTGTCTGGTTCAGCAGGGATTGGACAAATTTCGATTCCCGTATGGGCCCTGAGATTACTGCTTGACTGTACAACCACCCTGTTGCATTTTCCCTGCTCGATCTTCACTGCAGGCTATAGGTGGTCAGTGTATTGTGACAGGGGGGAATTCACCCCACTGCCAGAAGACAATAGCTCATGGGGGAGAATTCCCTCATTCACATCAAGTGTGTGGATGAGGGAAACAAGCCAGTGGGCTGAATGTAAAAAACAGTCTGAGGAGTGGGTGGTGTTATGCATCCCGTAGATGAGTCTGACAGTGCTTCTCCATCCAGAAAAGACTCCCTAAGCCTAGGCACACATCTGTGTGGGTTTGTGGCCTTTGTTTGCATGGGCATGTGTTTCCTGCAAAAAAAAAAAAAGGCTTGCACCTTTTTCAAAACGCAACTGCAGAGAAATTATATGGTTCTTTTGCACCATGCGATTTCCCAGTGGTACCCGCAAACATGCTGTGGTTTGAGATGTTTGGGGATGCCATCAAGAATTAATGATAGCCCGTGCATCTCTACAGAGCAGAGTGATTTGGAAACAGCTGCGATACCCACAGCCACCCGCTCAACTGTAAATCTAGCCTAAGACAGGAAGTGTGTTGCTGGCAGGATCACCAGATGAAAATAAAGGCAAACAAGCCTAAAAAAGAAAAACTTATTCAGCTACCACATTTTAAGCATTGGTAAGTTGCAATATATTACATCTCTGTTTTTGGGTTTGATACTGTTTTAAGTGGACCTTATAGGACAGTGGTTCTCAACCTGTGGGTCGTGACCCCTTTGGGGATCGAATGATCCTT